AGGTAGGCAGGGAATTAGGAAGCCTGATGGCCAAGAACCGTGAAGTAGATGTTGGTAAGGAATCACATCTGAGCCACTGATGTTAATGGAACCATTTGTGACACAGCAGGGTCTCTCTGACCCACACCCCCCTCAGCCTATGGAAAATGAGGCCCTAGTCTGACCATCCAAAGCCAGGAAGTCTTCACTCACCATGTAGGAGGAGCTGATGACCTATAGCTGTCTCTGAAAGTTAATGACACATTAACCCCGTTTTCCAGGACTGTCCACCCCATGTCCAGACACCAGTAGAAGCTTGAGGGCTTGGGCCTCTGAGTGCAGTGCTAATCTTTTTCTTCTTCTTCTTTTTTTTTTTTTTTGGCGGTACTGGGGTTTGAACTCAGGGCTTTGAACTTGCTGGGCCGGTACCCTGCCACTTGAGCCGCTCTGCCAGCCTCCAGTGCTCCTTCTTGAGCTGCCTATGTCCTGTCTGGAGCAGCACTTTTGCTCTGCTTTCACTTTGCTTTGCATTTGTAAACCTGCTTCTGTTTAAGCCTCCTGTGTCTGTCCTTTGAAACTTCTGTGTCTGACAAGATAAGAACTTTTTCTGCCCCCTGACCTGGTGACCTGAATCTAGTAACAGAGGAATGAGTCCAGCACAGCCCTCACTTGGATTTGTGGATCTGGTGAGGGTCGTGGGCCCAGGGGCAGCCCCACAACCCCCCAGAGAAAAGTCCATCCTGAGTCCCATTTGCACCACGGTTTTCTTCATAGGAGAGAGTAGTAATACTCAGGGAAGTATACAAAACTATTGTGAAGTTGACACTGCAGGAGTTACAACCCCTACTTCTCAGGTGGGGAAACTGAGTCTTAGCAATGGGAGAGGGGATGAAAGCAGCCCAGGATTATCCAGGATGTCAGCTCCAATGGAAGCTGTACCCTCCAGCACCCAGGGGAAGTGGCCTTTCCATGGCCCCTGACCTGAGCAGAGCACCACATGGCCTGGATCGATGACAAATCCCACAACACTATCCCACAGCCAGCCAGTGTCCAGCCACCACCCCCTATCTAAAGTCCAGGTTATTGTGCTGCCCACTTGTCTTGGGACAGCTTCGCAATCACTGCTGCTGATCTCAGAGCCAGGAGAATCTGGGCTGCCAGGCCACTGCCCTGTCCCTTGCCCAGAACTTCCTCACCTGGGACTCTGAGGAGGATATGGACTTTGCCCACCTCATCCTCTCAAACCTACCCTTCCCCTGGTCCAGTGAGCACAACAGCCGGCTACCGGGGCAGACCACACCCAAAGGGATCAGACCCCTCTGTCCTCTACCCCAGGACCCTACACTGCCCCAGGGAAGTCTTGAGCTGGCGGAACCAACAAGGGTCTCTGTCCTCGAGAAAAGGACATAGAGCAGTGCTGGTCCGTGGTCAGCCTCAGAGCCCAGGCTGCCTCCTCCAAGACGTCCTGCTGTTCCACTAGTTCTGCAGTGGTCTGTCACAACTAGCCTTGTCGGGGCTGGGCCTCTCCATCTTTGTCTCCCCTCCTGCCCATGAGCCTGGGTCTTAGTGTCTTAGCACTTTGTATACAGTAGGTGCTCAGTAACTATACAGGACAGACAAGCTGGCAACATGACAGAGAGCTGAGCAATCTCGGTACAAATAGGACCAGGGTTATTTGCTTGACTGTTGGTTTCAGCAATGTCGCAGCCTCTGGGCTTAGCATGGAGCTACTGTGTGGTTAGCAGGGGACACTATCAAAATTCCACTCCTCTAACCCAGAGTGGGGAGGAGGAGGTCCCATCTGGTACCAGTACCTCTCCTGATTATTTGGACATCCAGAGGTACATGGACTTGCTCTTTCCAGATCTCCTCTGGGCACCTATTCCGGCAGCTGGTGTGATGCCCTTACTTGCATGCTGTGTGGTCTGAGGCAAGCTGCCTCCCCTCCCTGGGCTCTGGTGTTCCCAGGCCTCAAATGGGGACAGGAATCCCTGGTGCTGGGGCTGATTCTGCCCAATGGGAGAGCAAGTGGCCCAGGAAGGGAGAGATTGTGACCTCTGGAGGACAGAGGTCCTCACCGGCTTCCTTGGACAGTAAGCACCCTGTCCAGTCCCAGGAGTGAGCAAGCTGGGGCTGGAGACCCAGGTACGTGCCAAGATGAGCTCACCTAGGAGCCCTAGCTCTTGGGCAGGGGCCCGGCTGTGTTGTTCCTGCCCCATCCCTTTCTGTCCACGAAATCAGTTCTGAGTTAGTTCAGGGTCTGGGGAGCTGGGCAGGTGTGGGCTCCCCACCGTAACCCAGAGCCCTCTGTGAACAGCAAGGAAGTGAGCGGCAGAGAGGGAGGTCACCTGCCAGGTCATGGTGGTGATGGGCTCAGAGTTCACAGCCCTGCTCTGCCTCCAGCGGAGCTGCCCACTTGGCTTCTGCCCAGGCTGAGCTGGCTGAGCCGCTGGGGTGGTGGGCGGTGTGACCCCGCCCCAGTTGTGGGCGGCGACACCAGGCTAGCAGTGAGGGGAGGTGCTGGGTTCCGGTAGATGGCTGCTTGGGAAAGAAGGAGGCAACGGCTCTGCCACTGGCCAGGGGCTCTGTTTGAGGTACACCCCTAGGGACGGACAAGGCCTGGGTCCCCCCTAGGTAAGCGGGGTTGGCCCTGGCTGCTGGCTGGCACCTCTCTCTACCTCTGGCTTCAGGGACCGTGGGTGGGTGGGTGGGTTGTGTGGGCTGTTGGGGGCCTCCCGCAGGGGAGGGGGGCCAGGCACTTTCCTTGCACATCGGTCCCCTCCAGCCTCCTGCAGCTGTGAGGAGGCACCCCAGCTCCACTTCACAGTGAGGCTGAGTTGTTGCACAAGGCCTCAGTCCTGTGGCCAGGCCCCTGCCCATCTGTGTGACCCTGAGCCCAGGCAGTCCTGCACTGGAGCTCCTGGAAGTTCTCTTAGGGGCAGCAGAGAGCAGGTTAACATTCAAGCTGCCGCTTGTGGGAGGAGCAGCGGGCAGGGGGCTTCGGCTGCCCCATCCCCCATTCTCACAGTGGGACTGCCCGGACTGGCAGGGCAGGCCCTGAAGGGCACGTGGCAGCTCCCTGGCCAGCAGCGCACAGTCTGAGAGAGAAAGGAGACTCCTCCTACAGGTGCTCTGTGCCTGGGCAGTGCCTCATGTGGGCACGGTGTCTGGCCTCTAAGTTTCTGGGGACCCCGTCATGCAAATTCCCCTGTAGGACACCACTCTCGGGGATCCTGGAAGATTAAGGACCCTCAAGAACCTAAGGTATGAGCAGACCCTCACAGAGAGGAATGTCCCCAGTCCTGGGCCACAGCAGTGGGCAGAAGACAGGCAGCTGTCACACTGTGGAGACAAAGGGTAGCCCTCCTACCCCCTCCACCCCTCCCCGTGCTGGTGCCTCTCCCCTTCCTTCTCTTCTCCTTGGAGTGGGGCACTGGGTAGGAGGGCCTACCTGACCAGCCTGAGAGCTAGGGTCGCCACTCACATCCCCACTATGTTTAGCACCCACTGGTGCAGGAGGGATACCGTGTGGGGTTTGATTCTGAGTCCTCTAAACCAGCCCTGTGATGTGTTTGGATCAGAGGTTGGTAGGGAGCAGGGTGGGGGAGTGCAGGCTTTGGGTTACCACCTCCTGGCCTTGTGCCCAGCAAAGCCACACGCTAGCTTGTGACCTCTGTCACCTCAGGGAGTCTTCCCATGCCCTGTGAAGTAGAGAGAGTGTGGACACAGCATTCTGCAAGTGTGAACCTGTGATGGAGCAGGCATAGCATGGGGTCCACACCCAAAAACAGAAGTCACTTTCTCAGAGGACCCAGTGGACTGGCTGATTGATTCAGTCACTAATACTAATTTGGTGGCCTGGCTCACCTCAACACCATAGCCATATGGTCACAACCGTAACCATTTTACTTTCCTGCTGACCCTGGGAAAGGACACTAGAAACTCATCCTTTGGCATCCTTTCCTCTCTCAGGGCCCACCTCATGAGAGAGACTCCTTCTCTCCTCTGAGGGTGGACTACCTGTTACATCCTTCTTCTTATTATTAGATATTTCCAGCTGGGGAGGTCGGGAGGGCTTCCTGGAGGAGGGATTAAGATGAGCACTAGAAGCCAGCTGGAAGACAGAGGAAGAAGGGGAGGTGAGGGGAAGGGGAGGCCCCTCAGCCCAACTTCTGAGCCCCCTAGGATCCAGACAGCCTGGCGCGTTGGGACAGGGGGGTGGGGGAGAATCTGGTCACCACAGCCTCCATATGCTCTGGCCCTGAGAACTACTGAAAGAGAAATAGCTTTCTGAGGTTGAGAGGGGTGGCCTCAGGGCAGGTGCTGGCGTCCTGTCTGGGGCTGCTGCTAACATCTGTGACCACCTTCCTTCTCCTGGCTGTCCCTGAACGCAGGTGACACACCTCTCCCCCTGCCCTCCTGTGGGACCTCTGCCTCTTCTCTCACCACCACATGGCAGCTCCAGGCCCTCTCCCCAGCTCAGAGCAAGGGCAGGGCCACCCACACTTGGAAGCTGCAGGGACATCTCAAGGTCACCGGCAGGCCCTCCCTGCTCCAGTCGCCCCATCACGCTCCTAGGTGCTGAGTGACCCAGCGAGACTGGCTCTCTTCTTGTCTCCAGTTCTGGGTCCTCTGATCTTACATCCCCCCCAATCCCACTTTCCTAGGTTCCATTTTGGACATCTGTCAGCTGTTAGCCACTTTTCTCTGGCTCCTCTTATGTCCCCAACACTCTGTCCCGACCCAGAGCTGTCTCTCTGGGGCCCAGCCCGAGCTGCTGTACAAAAGACTCTCAATATGCACTGAATGAATGAATGAATGGACAAATGGATGAATTAATGAATGAATGGATTAATGAATGAATGGATTAATGATGAGTGGATTAATGAATGAATGGATGGATGAATATGGTGGGCAGCGTCAGGAGGAAGGCTCTGGGATGGAACAGCATGGGGTCAGCTGCTTTCCACCCAGCCTAGCTGTCTCCCCAGCTCCTCAACATACTGAAGCCCAGACTCTTCATGGCCTCACTGAGCCGAGCCCTGCGTGTAGCCACCACCTGCTGTGGAAGGAGACCTGCCCAGGGCCTGGGGCTGCAGCCCCTCGCCAGTGCGGCCAGTCCCACAGCTGAGAAGAATGTGCCGTACCAGCGGACCCTGAAGGAGGCACTGGGCCCCTCAGAGGTGGCCCAAGGACCCAGCCAGCCCCTGCCCAGCACAGCCAATGTGGTGATCATTGGTGGTGGCAGCTTGGGCTGCCAGACCCTGTACCACCTGGCCAAGCTGGGTGTGAGTGGGGCAGTGCTACTGGAGCGAGACAGGCTGACCTCTGGGACCACCTGGCACACGGCAGGTAGGAGCCAGGGAAGATGGGGGCAGGGAAGGACCAGACACCCCAAGAGGACAGTTTGGGTTGACTGCCTGTTAGGGGCAACTGAACTGAAGGTAGAGACACTGAGAAAAGATGTGGTCAGTCTGGAGGGAGGCAGATTTGGGGCACCACTTGTGCCCTAATCTCTGAGAGCTGTGTTTGGGAGGAGGCAGCAGATGCTGGCTGTGTGGACCCAGTGGATAAAGCTGGACCAGGGCTGGATGCCCTAAGCAGCAGGAGGTCTGTCCAAGAGTGGAAATTGGATAGAGGAGGGAGAATGGCTGGGGCCCGTGGGGTGTTGCAGAGCTGCGTCCTCCATGGGCACTAACCACGCAGGGAGGATGTGCATGGTCCCAGGGCAGCCAACCTTCTGCCTCAACCAGGTAAACCGGTGGTGTACTGGTAAACCAGCAGCCTCTGCCAATCCCTGTGGTGTAAACACTCCCACCTTGGCCACTTTCAAGCCACCAGTGTGAAGTCGGTGAGCTTGAAGCTGGGAAGAGGTTTGCCCTGGCCCTTGAAAGCTGATACAAGCTGGCCTAGCATGCACTGCTTCTAAGCCCTTGTCCTCCTGTCCCAAGGCCAGTCCTATTTGGGCTGTCATGGCCCCACCCCTCCACACCACACAGCCTCATCCTTGGCCTCCCACCCACCAGGCCGTGCCACTGAAGAGAGCAGCTCTGTTGAAGAGACCATGGGCTTTGGTTGGTCTGGTTGGTGTTCCAGCCCCACCATGAGCTCTGGGACCCTGAGCTCAGAACCGTTTGGTGCCACCTTAATTTCATCTGTGAAATAATCCTGTCCTCCTCAGAGGGCTGCTGGATGGTGCCACACTAACTCTGGCACACAGTAGGCATTCAATAAATGGGAGCTGTGGACATGTCACTTTGAGCTGGCCCAGGTAGGGCCTGCTCTACGCTCCAGCTGTGACCTGCTCATGTCCCGTGCGACCTCTCTGGGCTCCCCGTGGCCTGATTTTTGGCTGGGAGAAGGGTCACAGTGCTACCTCAAGGGGGACTTATGGTGACCCCTTCCGGGCCAGGCCTGCTCTGGCAGCTGCGGCCCAGTGACGTGGAGGTGGAGCTTCTGGCCCACACGCGGCGTGTCGTGAGTCGCGAGCTGGAAGAGGAGACTGGGCTGCACACAGGCTGGATCCAGAATGGGGGCCTCTTCATTGCATCCAACCGGCAGCGTCTGGATGAATACAAGAGGCTCATGTCGGTGGGTGCAGCCCCTGGGGAGGGGGGTGAGCTGTAGGGACTCATGTCCACGGATGTGGCTCCTGAGGGTGAGGGAGGTAGACAGGATCACGTCAGTGGGCTTGCTCCCTGCAGGGAGCTCAGGTGACTGTGTGCTTTCCTTGAGGGTACACATGGGGAAGGAGGGGGATGGAGGACACTTAGATCAATGGGAATGCTTTCTGGGGGCAGGGGGCTGGGCAGCATGGTACAGGGAAGGAGATCTGACAGATCTGGCGCCGTCCCCTGCTGGCTGGGTCACCTGGGCTGAGAGATTTGGCCACTTTTTATTCTTAATTCCCAGAGAATCTGATAGGCTTAGCTCATCCCCCATTGGGTGGGGCCTGTGGGATGGGACATCCCCTGATATGTGATCGCTGCCCTTGGGTCAAAAAATATGGGGGTGTGGTGTGTCTGACACTGTGTCAGGAACCAAGCACCAGGTTGGTCTTCCTTAGAGGGGCTGGTTTGTCTGACCTGGGAAAACCTGGTCCTCAGTTCCAAAATTTGAGACCGTGGGGGTAATTTTTATTGTATTTTTGCATAGTAAGCCATTTGTATCAGGTATTGGTCTGAGTTCTTCACTAACTCCATAAACTGCTGTCACCCCATTTCTGAGAGTTGCATTAGCAACTTGCCCCAGGTCTCAGAGCTGGCCCGTGTCAGAGCCAGAGGGAAGGGGTTTGGCTCAAAGGCCTTGGCCTCTGCTCATTAGGCCTGCTTCCTTCACCCTCACACTAGCGTGGATCACGGGGCAGGGCCCTCTGGGGTGTGGAGATTGGCTAAGGCTTGGAGGAAGCAGGGTTGAGGTTGCAACTTGGCTTGGCAGATCTGCTCCCTGTGGGCTCAGTTAATCCTGTCTTGGTCCCCTAGCTGGGCAAAGCCTATGGCGTGGAATCGCATGTGCTGAGTCCAGCAGACACTAGGGCTCTGTATCCGCTGATGAATGTGGACGACCTCTACGGGACCCTGTATGTGCCGCAGGATGGTACTGTGGACCCTGCCGGCACCTGTACCACTCTCACCAGGGCGGCTGCTGCCCGGGGAGCACAGGTACCCATCGTTGCCAGCTCTCAGTCCCCTGCTCCATGCCCACCCATCCTGCCTAAGGACTCAGAGCAGAGGTCAGAGAACAGGCTCTGTCCTTGGCCTGCTGTGTGACTGAGCCAGTTAGGACCTCTCTGAACTTTCTGAGCTCAGGAGAGGCTCCATCTTGGGTCTGCTCACAATGTCAGCTCTCCCTCCTCCCTCCTCCCCAGGGTCCTACCCTCCTGCACAAGCAAATCCCCTCAGAGTCCCTTCTTAGAATTTTTTGTTAGTTTTTGAGAAAGCGTCTCACCAAATAGCCCAGGCTGGCTTCCAACTCACGATCTTCCTGCCTCAGTCTCTGGAGTGCTGGGATTATAGCCATGTACCATCATTCCTGGAACCCATCTTACATTTTTTAGCATCATTTGCCTCAACCCCACACATAAATGAAGAAAAATTTAAAAGACAAGTAAAAAAGAAGTGAAATTCACCTAGCGGTAACCAATGTGGCGATTTTAGTGTTTCACTCCAAGTGTTTTCCCTATGAAAACTTTTTTGTATGCAAAATAGAACCAAGCTGTACATTGTTCATGACCTTGTTTAAAACCACAAGCATCTTTCCATTGTTCAAATGAAGAAAAGGCAGCCACCTTTTCACATCATGAACAAGAGAACTCGCAACCTGTTTGCAGCGTTTTCCAGGTCAAGGAAAGGGTGGGTTTGGCCTTCTGGTGCTGATCAATTTCCCTGATCAATGAGGAAATGCGTCCCTAGCAGAGCAGTGTCCCCAGGTCCCACCAGACTGGGGTGCCTGGTCAGGGGCAGAGGTCAGCACCCTCAAAGAGCCCCACATGGCTTTAAGAGCAGGTCCTCTCTGTTCCAGGTCATTGAGAACTGCCCAGTGACCGGCATCCGTGTACGGACAGATGACTTTGGGGTACGCCGGGTTGCAGCTGTGGAGACAGAGTATGGCTCCCTCCAGACGCCCTGTGTAGTCAACTGTGCAGGTGGGGGCAGCATTTCTGCTGACTTCTGAGTGGCCACGTGGCTGCTTTCAGCTCCAGTCCCTCCTCTGCCGAGCCTCTCTTGGGTAGAAAGTCCAGACCGGGGCATGTGGGTCTGCAGAGATGCTATGGGTTTTCCCACTGGGGTGGCAAATCCCATTCCCCTGCAGGCAACCAGAGTTGACCTGCTTGTACTCTCACCCCAGGAGTGTGGGCAAGCGCTGTGGGTCAGATGGCCGGAGTCAAGGTCCCGCTGGTGGCCATGCACCATGCCTATGTTGTCACGGAGCGCATCGAGGGGATCCAGGTAGGTGGGCAGCCCCGGGTCTGTGCTAGGTATTGGGGGGCTGGTGGGGTGTGAGCACTTAGCTCTGAACCCCAGCTTGGGCACATGCAAGTGCCCGACCCTCCTGGGCTCCCTCACTGCCCTCAGCCTCCGTCGTGCCATCTGTGAAATGGAGACTGTAGCGCTGGGTGTTTCTGGAATGTGTGAGAGTTACATGAGTTAGCGCAGTGAAACCTGGATGGTGCTGACCCCGTGGCCTTCAGGGCCAGGCTTCTCCTTGATGCCCAAGCCACAGTCTGAGCCTGTCCTGCAAGGGGCAGCCAATCTGTCTCTTGGTCCTTCTGTGCCTAAGAGTTTCAGGGAACTTCTCACACAGGCCCTAAGTGCCTGTCTTGGACGGCATGGTTTCCTGGCGCTCAGAACCTTGCTGAGAGCTCCCTCCTGAGGGATCCCAGGACCTGGTGTGCCTGCCAGCACCTGAGCGCCACTTGCCCTTCTCCTCTCCTGTCCTGCTTGACTCTTCTCTGCTGTGGCAGCAGCTGGTAGTCACCTGCCACCTTGTCACTGACTATGAGCCTACCCTCCATCCATTATCCAACACCCCTTATTCCTCTCTCTCTCTGCCCTGTCCTCCCCTCCCTCCTTCCCTCCCTCCCTCCATTAATTCCTTCTCCTTTACATCCCTTTATCCCATCCACCCGTTGCTCCCTCCATCTACTTCTCTCTCTTAATTTCCTTTTCTGTCCTTCTTGACATCCTTCTGCCCATACTTCCCTTGTCACTTCCCTCCATCTGTCCATCCACTTATTCATCTACATACCCATCCATTCTTCTGTTCACCCCTCCTTCCATATGTCCTTCCTGACACCCGTCCACCAATTCATCCCTCCTACCCTTCCATCTCTCAGTCTACTCATTCCCCCACCGTGCATTTATTCTTCCCTGTTTCCAACACTCAGGTCACTCTCCCTCCATCAAACTGACTGGGGGAGCTCAGGTTCCAGGTCCTGCTTTAAGAAAGTGGGACTAGAATGGGGAAAGGCCTTCTAGGTGGAGCAGGGGGCGGGGCTGCAGTCACATAAGCAGGCAATTCCAGAAGAAGCTGGAAAGGGCTCTGATGGGGCATTCACCTTGGAGAAATGAGGCAAACTTCCCAGAGGAAGCGGCCAGCAGAGGATGAAGCAGATGGAGGGGAATGGGCTGAGGTCAGGAGGCAGGGCCTTTCCTGGCCATCAGCACAGGGAGGGCTCCTGCATGGAGAGAACAGGGGAGGTGCTGGGTGGACGTGGGGTGCAGAGCTGAGCACTTGCTGGGTGCCCAGAGCAGCAGGGCTGAATAAGGGGCAGGAAAACCAGGACAACACATCCTGCTGGGACAGACGTGTGAATTTTTCTGGCCACCAGGTGTCCCCACTGCCCTGTGCTATGGAGCTCTGTTTCTTTGTGGCGTAGTGGTGCCAGTAGAGGTGGAGGTGATGGTGAGGTTATTATTATTTTTGGCACTGGGAACATCCACGTGCCCTGACATCAGGCCCTCCGTGTGGGTACTCCTACTCTGACTCACAGATGAGCAGGACCCTGCATGTCCCCTTCCTGCTTTAGTGTCCCTTGTGTTCATCTCTGGGGAGGGCGGGTGAGGGAGAACCAAGAGAAGGCGGTGGGGGATCCACAGCCCAGCGGGCCTTGTCCATCCTGCTGGCCTCCTCGCTGGTCTTGTTCTGCTTTACTGGTCTAATCTGTAGTCAGCGTTGGCCATATTTTGGCTGTGTAAACGTTGTTAGTTCCTCAGCTGGTCCTGTCTGATAGCCTCCCCGCTCCCACCCGCAGTTGCTCAGTTATCCTCATCTCCCCGATTATCAGTCACTCCCATCCCAGCCTCAGGCAATCTCTAATCTGATCTCTGTCTTTATGGGTTTCCTATTCTGGACATCTCATAGAAGTGGAATCCCAAAATCTGTGACCTGTTAAGACTGCCTTCTTTCTCTCAACCCTCTGTTTTCAGCGTCTATTAACGTAGTATCTGTGCCAATATGCCATTCCTTTTCGTGACCAAATAATATTCCATTGTGTAGATAAACCACACCTTATTTATGCATTCATGGAACGATGGACAACTGAGTTCCCACTTTCGGGGTGTCACGAGCAGTGCTGCTGTGAACATTCATGTATGTCTTGTGAGGACCTGGCCTTCCATTTCTCCTTGGTGTATACATAGGAATAGAATTGCTGGGTCATCTGGAAACTGTGTTTAACATTTCTAGGATAGAAACAGCAGGCTGCTTTTCAAAGAAGCTGGACTGCTATACGTTCCCACCCGCAGAGTGTGGGGCTCGTGTCCCCACACTTGGCTTCACTGCTAGCGACCCTCTGGGTAGTGGTAGCTGTCCTAGAGGGCATGAATTACAGGTCCTTGTCCTTTCATCTGCTTTTCCCTGATGGCTGGTGACATCAGGCATCTTTTTCATGTGCTTTCTGACCATTGTCAGTCTTCTTTGGAGAAATGTCTCCTTAGAGCCTTCTCCCACTTTCAGATTGTGTTGCTTGTGTTTTTATTAAGTTGTAAGATTTCTTCATATACTCTGGGTGCAAGTTCTCTAAAGATATATGGCTTGTAAACATTTTCTCCCATTGTGTGGGGCTTTCTGTATAAGACCATGTCTGCAAGTAGTTTTTACTTTTTTCTTTCCAATCGGGATAGCTTTCTTCACTTTGTTGCCCTGTGGTTGTCTGTATGGAGCACCCTTTACAGTGTTGGCCAGGGTGGTGCAAGTGGATGGCTAAGGGAGGCAGAAACCCCCCTCCCCTGCGCTCTTACCTTTGTGGGCCCTACCCTGTCCCTCCATCTCATCTTCTTCCCCTTTTGCTGTTCCTATGTGGAATTTGGGGAAGGGGAGACTTGGATGGATGTGACTGGTCTTCTCTATGTAACCCAAGGCTCCATGTCCACTCTGTCCTTGAGATCCTGTAACAAGGAGGTGGAGCTGTGGGTCCGCCTTGGGCCTGTGACCCTGGTGCAGGTCCTTGGCCTGCCATGGAGTATGGGAGCCAGGTCCCACCAGGCCTGTCTGCTCTGCCTTCTAGAACATGCCCAATGTCCGCGATCATGACGCCTCTATCTACCTCCGCCTGCAAGGGGACGCCTTGTCTGTGGGTGGCTATGAGGCCAACCCCATCTTTTGGGAGGAGGTAAGATCTGAGGGCCCCAGGGTGGACAAAGGGAGGTGCCTGGCCCCACAGGGCTCCAAACTCTGGCACCCAGACAGATACAGGTTAGGCTGAGGGGTTGCCACAGAACGCAGCAGATTCAGGTTGCTCCATGTGGAGTGGCGATTCCAGAGGGTCAGCCCTTGGCCTGTCAGCACCAGTGCTGGGTCCTGTGCTCCCAGCCTGGCTGCTCCTCCAGCAGCTGAGTGCAGGCCCTGTGGCCCCTCGGTCCCTCCTTGTCACACATTTAATCCACAAACGGGATGACCCCCATGGCTATTTTGGATCAGATGCTTCTTTACTTTCTAGGAAAGGGGAGACTAAGGTAAGAGTCCCTGCCCCAGGGTGCCTGTAATTTGGTGGGGAGACAACAACAAGCAAATGAAATTGCACAGCAACTCTGGACAGTGATGTGCTCTGAATGGAGTCAGCAGGCTAAGGGTTGGTCAGAGAGCCTGGTGGGCAAGGTGAGGTTTCAAAGGTGGACCCAGAGCAGAGGCCTGTAGCATGAGAACAGGCTGTACAAGTACGCCTGGGTGGGCAGCTGCCCAGTGAGAGCTGGAGGCCTGCAGGCAACTCCAGTCTGCCCTCCTCAGAGACTGCGGCAGGTCAGTCTCTGAGCAGAGGAGGGGTGGCCAGGGCTGGCTCATGTAGGGCTTGGGGAGCCTCAGCAAGTCACAGACAGACAGAGGAGGCTCCAGAGCACAGGCACCATGCAGCTTAGAAGATCAAGTTGGTAGAGGAAAACAGCTGGCCAGATAGAGGCCATCAAAACAGTGCAGGCAGACAGGTGGGAGCTGGCCCCAAGTAGGAGGGGGAGCAGGTGGCTTGCTGATGGACCAGGTGAGGGGAGACAAACTGAGGAGACCATGGTTGCACCCCATACTCTGACTCATTGACACAGTGGAAACCAGACTGCCCCCATCTGGCCAGGGGTCTGGGCTGCCATCTCAGGGGCAGGTTTGGCAGGAATTCATGTCCCTTTCTGGGCTGTAGAGACAGTTCCCTGTCCTGCTGCTGTAGGTGTCAGACAAATTTGCCTTTGGCCTCTTTGACCTGGACTGGGATGTATTCACCCAGCACATTGAAGGTGCCATCAACCGCGTCCCTGTGCTGGAGAAGACAGGGATCAAATCCACAGTCTGTGGTCCAGGTGAGTGGGGGGCTCAGGCTGAAGGGCATGCTTGGACCCCTCAGGCTGATGTCTGCTGGTGGCAATGCCCTACTTGAGGGTGGCCTGTGTCAGCAGAGGGGCCCAGGGCCAGCCCTGGGTTCTCTTGCTGACATGTTCCCAGCTTTGGGTGTTGCTGGGTGTTGCTTTTATTCCTCTCTGCAGCAGGAAGACCTGAACCTGGCATGGGCAGCAGTGTGCCCCGGGTACTCTGCCAGGCTTCTTTGGGCTGGTGGGACTCCCCAGCCTGGGTTCTTTGCTCCTAGCCTTGACTTAGCCCCGGAACTGGGGATTTTCATCTGTAAAATAGAGATGAGGGTTCCTGTTCCAGCACCTGGGGAGGCTGAGTGAAGACTGGAAGGGCTGAGGCCTGTCTGATGTGGTGCTCACATGGTGGAGCCCCTGTTCTGCACCCAGCCTCACCCTCTTCTCAGAGAGCATAGCCCTGTCCTCACCCTCCGTCCTCAGTGACCAGCACCCAGCCATGGAGACCAGCTCTGCCCAGACGGGTTCTTGGCCAGAGGTCCCTGAGCCCAGAGCCTCCTTTGTGGAGCCTCTAGGAGGCTGGAGCAGAAAGGTGGGCTCAGCTCCAGATGCTCACTGTGTGTTGTCCATAGATCATCCCTGTCTCCGACCTGGAGGCCAGCACTCACAGGAATCCCAGGCTCCATTCCAGATTTAGGGTGCAGGGGCGGAGGCTACCAGCCTGGGGCCCTAGGAAAGAGGTGATATTAGGAGGAAGGAGGCTGATGCTGACCTTGGAGGCTGATATTAACAACATGAGACTCAGCAGACACTTCCGAGCTTAGTGTGGTGCAGCCCAGCAGCATCTGACACCCAGGGCCTGCAACATTCCCTCACATGGCATTTATTCCATGTTAACCGCAGCTAGTCTGTGCCTGCATTGGGCCAGGGCTCCCAGAGTGGTAGGGAACCCTCAGGGCGAGGACATAGGGAGAGAGGGAGGGGTCAGCACTGGGCTGGGCTGTGGAGTATGTGTGCAGGGTAGAGCGGGCAGCGGGTGGACATGAGAGCAGGGAGGAAACACATCGCCTGCCCATTGTGGTCCTAGCAGAATCTCACAGGCATGCCCCCTCCTTCCTGTAGGGGGAGCCCTGCTCCCAGTTCAGGGCACCCAGAGACAAGTTCAGAAAGATACAGTGTTGCCCCCAAAGAAACTGTGTCTCAGGCTCTGACAAGCTGAGCCACCCAGGTCTGCCAGCAACTTGGTGTCTCGGGGTTGCCGTCTGTGAAGTAGCTGGCCAGCACCTACTTATTAGGGACAGCGTGAAGGTGAGAAACCACAGATGGGGTGCAGAAAAGGGCCGGGCCAGCCATCCTCAGTGAGCATCCTCTGCACAGCAAGGAGCAGGAGGCCATGCAGACAGCCCCGTGGCCTGCCTGGGAGTCCAGCCTCACCGTTCCAGAATGCATGGCGTGTGGGCAGCTGCCAGCTCTGCCTGTGTTCATCTGTACGGCTCACGAGGAAGAAAGCTGGTGCGAGGCACAGCCCCAGGAGGGGCAGATGGAGCCAGGCAGCCAGCCACAGTGGTAGGCTCTGAGCGAGCAGGAGTGCCAGGGCAGCCGTGACTCACCGTCCCCGAGGCTCCTTCAGCTCGCGTGGGACTGACAGCAAGAAACAGAGAGAGAGTCTCGGGCACGAATGTCCCCAGGGCTCTCTTGTTTTAATTAGCCTGGAAGGCGTCACTCCCTCGTGGAGCTCTATTTTGGGGGAGGTGTGCATGTGAGGCCATTCTGCATCTGGTCTCCCAGCTATGAGAAGTTTAGTGGAAATGTGCCCTGCTCCTTGTCACTGACTGTGGGCCTCCAGAAAGAACAGAGAAGTCCTAGACCCCCTGGCTAGTATAAGGAGGTCAGAGTCAAGGTGGGGCTGGGAGACACAAGTCTGGCTGTCCATGCTGCTGGGAGGTCCTTTGTTCTGATGTTCAATCCTGCCAGAGCCACCTGTTAAACATCCCAGGGACCCTCGTCCCTGCGTCTGCCCTCCTAACAATACTCTGTCCTGCAACTCCTTGCAAGGTTGTTCACGTCTTTGCTGCCTGCCTGGGCCTAGTAGTTCCAGCTCCACTACACAGGGCCATCCCCACACACCAGCCAGGCTCACCTTTTCCTCTCAATGGCCACTCTCGGCTCACCCAGATGGCCACTCCAGCGTCCACCTCCACCCTTACAGCCAGCCTCACACTGGACTCCAGGAAGTCCCCAGGCCTCCCATAAGCATCCTGTTCTGTTTTCAGACCCTCCACTTGGAGAACAAATTGAAGATCCTCACCTCAGCCTCCCATAGGGCCTTGTTCCTTTTTGACCTGCTGGACCAATGGAACAGTTTGTCCCTGGGTCACAGTCTTTCGTTTCTCCCATTGGTTCTTAGCCCAGCTTCTCCCTGATTTCCACCCTGCTCAGGTTACCCATCGCCACCCAGCTTTACTTTGTATCCCCTTGGTGCCCATGCAAACACCGAGTCCTGCTGGAACAGCCTTCCTCCTCCCCGTCCCTGAGCCGCCTGCCTCTGTCCTCCAAGGGGCCCAGCACCTGCTTGCTATGTGGAAACTCCCCGGTGCCCCCGAGGCCAGCTGCCCTTCAGCTCAGACGCTGCTCCTCTGACAGCCAGGCTCTGTTACCCTCTGGGGAGCAAGAGAGGACATGTTCTAAGTCTGAGTGCAGAGACTGAGAACCTGGGTTTGGAGCCGGGCAGCCGTGACCACCACTCCCTGATAAGCCCAATGCCCAGTGACTTCGCCTCTGTGATACATCACTGGGCAATGACAGTAGTGCATGCTGTGCAGGGTCCTTGGGAGCAGCTGGCACCTGTTCCTCGCCCCTTACCCCACTGTACTTTCTTGCAGACATTCTCATTTTGGTTTATTTGAGTATTTAGCCTCTGTCTTCCTTGCTCGCCTGTCACCTCTGCTAGGGGTTTAGAGCTGCCTCCCTGGGCCAAGCAAGGCAGGTTAGAAATGTTTGTAGACTGATTCACAACCTTGTGGAGTAAGTACATTATCCTCATTTTACATGTGAGGAAACTAAGGCACACAGAGGCAAAGTGACTTGCTGGAGGTCACACAGCTAGGAGGGGACCATGGCTACCAAGTCCAGCTCTATGTAAGTATCTCCCAGGGTCTCTCTCCTGCTGTGTCTCTGATGCACACTGGCAGCAGACAGACAGAGGGATGGCTTGGTCTTGGTCATTCATTCATTTATTCCAGGAGCATTTATCAAACACCTGTGTTTGCCGGGCTCTGTGCTTGGTCCTGGGACCTGGCAGTGAGCAAAACCCAGTCCCTGCCTCCATGTCTGGGATGGGGGAGTGACTTGTCACCAGAAATGACACAGCAGAACAGTGGTGCAGTGAGGGGGAACCACGTACTGGCTCAGGGAAAGGTCCCTTGTGGGCAGAACAATGCTGCTAGCCCTGAAGCAGAGCTGGGTTCCCAGGGCAGAGCAGATCAGGCACAGGCTGGTGGTTCTGACAGCAGATGCCTGGTGCTCAGGGGTACATGGGTGGCGGCTCCCTGAAAATCAGGGAGGCTCCCTGAAAGAAGTGGCATTGGGCTGGGTCTTGAGGATGGGGAGGTCTGAACAAAGGAGGCACCTGTCGATTCCTGCCCCATCCATGCTATCTCCGGAGACCCCCCCAAGTGCCCATGGCTGGAAGGGACCTCAGGCCTCCCCTTCCCTTTTAGAATCCTTCACACCTGATCACAAGCCCCTGATGGGGGAGGCACCAGAGCTCCGTGGCTTCTTCCTTGGCTGTGGCTTCAACAGTGCAGGTGAGTAGGCAGCTGTGGGATAGGCCCTGTGGTCCCCAGAGCTCCCAGGAAAGGCCCCTGGTGGTGTGGAGATGGGAGGCCTGCAGCCCCCCAGGTGTGGGAGCGGGGATTGTGTGTGTGCAGCCTGCAGGGAAGGGCATGCAGTGGGATGTGGGGGTCCTGGGGGCCGACTGTAATCCTTCATTTCCACTCCTACCAGGAATGATGCTGGGTGGGGGCTGTGGGCAGGAGCTGGCCCACTGGATTGTCCATGGGCGCCCGGAAAAGGACATGTACAGCTATGACATCAGGCAAGTGTGCCCCAGAGGCCAAGGGCAGGACCAGCCACACCAAGACAGTCATAGCTGGGGAAAGGAGCCTTTGCTGAAATCCAGGCAGCTTCTTGGAAGAGGTGGCAGCAAGGGAAGAAGGCAGCCAAGGGTGGGCAGTGGTGCCGAGGGTGCCCAGATTGGCCTGTATGACTCCCATATTCTCTTGTCCCAGGGTCCTACCTAGCCCTCTAGCCTCTCACTTCTCAAGTGGGGAGACTGAAGCTGGGCAGGAGGGAGCTGGGCCCAGCCTGGACTCTTGCTGTTAGTGTGAATGTAGAGTAGGAGCCAGGCAGTCTGACCAGTTCCTTGTTCCTTGGCTCCTAGATCAGATCCTCTGTCTCAGGGCAGTGGCCATGTGGCCACCAAGGTCGGTAGTAGTGGCTGGGCTGGTGCAGGTGTGGAGCTTGGCAGTGGGCATGTGGGAAGCACTGGGAGTACCTGAGTCAGATGCCTTTGGTGAGGCATCCTGGCGGCTGCATGGCCCATGGCTGAGAAGACAGGAGCCCCGGGCAGCCCCCACCTCTCCTCCAACCCTGGCTCTGAACCCATCCTCAGAGCAATTGTTCTGAGGCACGCAGTGGAGCCTGCAGGGCACTCAGGCTGAGCAGTTTGAGGAGGCAGCCCCTGGAGGATCCCAGCTGCCCCATTAGCCTGAAGGGGGGGCAGAAGGGCCGTTGGCTCAGCTCAAGGTGTCCCATGCCCCTGCCATGCTCACTCCTTCCTGGCTTGGTGAGGACATTGCATCCCCAGGGGGAGGAGGTCTCTGAATGGCCAACACCCCCTGCCTGGCAGCTGGCATTGTGAGGTCTGCTCTGCAGCCTCTCAGAGCATGTCTGGGGCTGTATCCATGCACTGTCCCCAGAGAGGAATGTTCTAGAAATGATACAGCTGCAAGAGGCCTCAGCGAAGGGTCCATCCAAGCCCCTCCTGTTGCACACAGCAGAGCAGGGCGACCTGCCCAGTCATCAGCTGGGCTACCAGAGCCTCAGGGCTGTCCTCAATGTTGGCCTCTCCAGGGCAGGGTTCCAGCTCAGGGACTGGATCACTGGGGCCACCCATACCTATTCAGTGTGCCGGGGTGGATGGCCACCACCAGCACCAGCTGCAGTACCTAGGATTGCCAGTACTCATGAGAAGTCTGTGTTCCTGGGCCTGAGCCAGTGGACAGAGCAAGACACAGTCCCCTCTGGGAGAGAGGCAGAGCGAGGAGACAGTGAAGTGAATCAGAGAGCTGACAAAAAACAGAGAAAGAAAGTGGAGAAAGCCACAGCCAATGTAGCTCTTCTGTGCCCATTTTCTCCTGGTGTGTTAGAGGCAAGACATGCCTTGTCCCCTTGTTCTACACCAGGAGGCCAGCTCAGTCAGGGGCAGCCAGTGCCAGTCCTGGGTCCCAGCATGTTCAGACCTCAGCTGTGCGTGAAAAGTTCCAGGGTGCACTTGGTACCACGAAGCCTCTAGGCCAGAGCAGCTTCTTCTCCTGTGGTAGCAGAGCAGGTTGTACAAGATAGGTCTCCATCATTTGCCCCTGTACCCCACAGACATGCAGCCCTGGGCCAGTCCCTCCCCTTCTCTGAGTCTGTTTTGGTATCTGTGGAAGGGGCATGCTGATCCATCCTCCTGGAGGGCATCCCAGACCCTCACATGTGAGGTGGTCAGAGCATGGACCACCCTTTTTTGGAGGTCCTTGGGTCAGTGAACCTGGAGAGGGGTCGTTGCTCACTTAGGTGAAGCAGGTGGCCCTGACTCTGGCTTGGCTGTAGGTCTCTGCCCATGGCTCACAGGCAGAAATGGCAGGCAGGTTCCTGTGGCTACAGTGAGATGGAAGCTGTAACTACTGCTGTTGTATCTCTGACCAGGCTGCAGCTGAGCCAAGGGCCCCAGGCCTCTGACCCCCACAGATATGAGCAGAAGGGCCTCCAGAAGCAGCCAGCTAGGGCCCACCCACAGGTAGCATTGAGGCTGTGTGGATGCAGAGCTTGTCCAGTCCTGCCCTCTCCCCTACTCCTCCTCTGTCTCCACCAACCCAGGATTCAAAGGGAGAATGAGTGGCAGGTGCACTCAGAGCAGCTGGGGGTCTACCTGCCCCATGTCCCCTGGCTCCTGCTGCTTGGGACTGAGTCTAATAATGGAGTGGATAAACAGCCAGGGGGGCCTCTGGCCTCTGCCTTCCCCAGCTACCACTCCTAAGCCAGTTATGCGTTTCCAAATTCCACACCCCAGTTGGCGGCGGCCCCGCTGGAGCCCTCCACAGACCCTTGCTGGCTCCATCACACCCTCCTTCAGCTCCCAGGGCTGTTCATGTTGCATGCGTTACCCCTCAATTGTGAAATGGGCTGGCTGGCATAAGATAAGGGTCACGCACAAGGCAGCTGCAAGGACGAGTGGAAGGAGACTCTGCAGACGGCACTCAGGCCCAGCCTCACTGGGAAAGGGCTCCTGCAAGGAGCGCCATTATCAGCGATAATGCTCTCTCCGCCTGCCTGGATCAGTACCTCATGCTTGCTAGAGTTATGTGCAAACCACAAGATGATAGCACTAATGAGGACTGACAAGGCTCCCTTGTCAGAGAGGGCAGAGACCCCAGTGAGGCTGTGGCTGGTGAAGCAGTGGGCTTCAAATGGTGAGTGAGACTAGGGAGTGGCTGGCTAATGGGAGGCTGCAGTGGGCCTGTGCTGGGAGAGGCCTGCAGGGCCCTGTCACCACAGGGTCAGGAGTCAAACCCTAGCCCAGTAGCTCCACGCAGGTGGACCTACAAGCTGCAGCTGGAAGCCAGGTGGATGGGCCAGTGGGTGGCCCTGCCCACTCTGGGGCTCTGGGTTCAGTGAGGTGGGACTGCCAGGTAAGAGCTGGATCCTAGTGGGGGCTGCATGGTGTCCCCAGCCTTGTGCTGTTGTGGACATGACCTGGGGGTTGGATTCTGCAGCTGCTCCGAAGTCACAACTGTGGGTGCTGCCAGGAACTCTGCACCTTTTGGGCCCTTGTTCTGACCCAAGGATGAGGCCCAGCCTTGGGTCTCTGGGGGACTCGGCTGGGAGACTATTGCTCCTGCCTCCACACTGCCAGGAGGGAGGGAGAAGGAAAGGTGACTGCCCTTAAATATTCTTTATTCATTGTTTATATTTTTTGTGGTGCTGGGGATTGAACCCAAGGCCTCATACAAGCTAGGCAAATGCTCTACCATTGAGCCATCCCAGCCTTTAAAGATCCTTCAGATTAACCTTTGTAGGTCCTTTGGGCTCCTGATCCCTCCCTCCCAAGGGTCACTCACTCCCCTGGGCATGTGAGAGTACTTGAGAATGCCCCCCCCAACTGCTTGAGTTCAGACAGCAGAGGCAATGTGACAAAAGGGAGCCCTGTCAGGAATAAGAATTCTCCTGGCTCCTGGGCTCCCAGGGTCCCCCCACTGCCTGACAGCCATGGGGGTCACAGGTGAGGAGGTGAGCTCACAGAGTTTGGGAGTGAATGGAGATCCATGAGCCCCACCTGGTGCTGAGCCAGGGGGGACTCTGGTGGGGGGCACAAGGGTGTAAGTGTGCACTGGTCCTTGCCCTTCCCCATCAGGGAGTGACCTCGCCGTCCCTCTGCTACAGGCGCTTCCATCACTCACTCACAGACCACCACCGCTGGATCCGCGAACGCAGCCACGAGTCCTACACCAAGAACTACTCTGTTGTCTTCCCCCATGACGAGCCGCTGGCAGGGCGAAACATGAGGAAAGACCCCCTGCATGAGGTACCCCAGGGTCCTGCCTGCAGGGCCACAGCACCTTCTGGGAGGACCTTGGGCTACTGGGGTGACAGAAGCACATCAATTGTCCCGTTACCTGAGCAGTGTGCACTGGGCGCTGTGCCAGGACTGGGAGAGTGGTGGGGGAGGTGGAAATGGCTCTGTCCAGGGGCTTCCATGCTAGTGGGGAGACAGGTGCCCAAGAACATATGCGGGATCTGTCCTGACACAGCAGCAGTGCTGGAGGTTGGTGGCAGGTGCATGGCGAGTGTGCAGAGTGCATGTCAGATGGGAGCAGCGGACCACAGGCTCCTGCTTGTAGTCGGGTTGGCGTGTTCTCCCACACTGAGCTTCTGCTTACATGATCGGTGCCCTGTCTGAGGTCTGCACCCGTCATCCTGTGTCAGAAGCACTGCTCACTTGGGATTGGAGTGATGTCCTGGTCACTCTGGTTCCTGAGCAACATGGGGCTCAGAGAAAGTGTTGGATGGACTCATGGAACAGGAGTCAGGAGGCTGGCTCTGGGCATGGGTGCATTTAACCTGGTGAAGAACCTCTCTCATCTGGTTCTCCAGTGCCAGAGTCCAGAAGGACCCCAAAGCTGCTGCTCTTGTCCCTACCCTGCGGAGGGGTCATGGTTGATATCAGGCCGCACGGAGTCTTGGGGACTCACCCCCTTGCCAGTCCTGACAGCTCAGTGGCCTCCTTGGATGGATGCAGGGTTGCTTGGCTTCTCCCCAGATTCTATAAGACCTTTCCACAGCAGCCTCAGCAGGGGCTGACGTCCTCCCCTGCCAGAGGGGTGGCTCCTCCAGTTCCCCACTCCCCTTCCTACACATTCTTCTGGGACACTCAGCCTTAACTGTATGTTCTTCCTTGGACTGTCCAGGGTCACCAGCACCCACTACCTATGAGCTATGCTCAACTTCTAAAGCCCCAGGCCCCAGTACCACCTCAGAATGGTGGCTTCTTTCTTCTAAATTAAATTTATTTCTTTAAAAAACCTGCCTCTATATTGCTGCACCATGCCTGTATTTTTTTATTGTGGTAAAGTACACAGAATGCAAGGTTTGCTGTTTTCACGGTTTTATAGTGCAGGGTACAGGGGTGTTCAGCCCATTCAGGGAGCTGTCCAGTTTCAGAGCATGCTCACCTGCTCAGAAGGAAATGCCTGTGCCCAGGCAGTCATTCCTCATTGTCTTCCTAGCCCGTCAGCCATCACCTGCTCTCTGCCTCTGGATTTGCTGTCCTGGATGTTGCACAGAAAGGGAACCAGACAATAGCTGACCTTCTTCCCCTTAGCATGCTCTCATGTTTTATCCACACTGTAGCTTGTGTCAGAATTTCATTACTTTTTCTGGCTGAATACTATTCCGTTACTACAGACTACATGTTTTGGTTTTCAGCAGGTGAGAGCTATTCAGGCACTTCCCCCTTCTGGTGGGTGTGAGTAGGGCTGCTGTGAGTGTTCGTACCAAGTGTCTGTCTGAGATCCTGATTCTGCTCTTTCTGGCACATACCTGGGAGTGGGCTTGCCTGGCCACAGAGTCAACTTGGAACCGAGTACTGCAGCCAAGGGGCCATGAAGAGTAGACATTTATTTTCTTGGCATTCTGGAGGCTGGGAGGTTCCAGATCAAGGTGTTGGGCTGATTCAGCTCCTGGTGGAGGCCCTCCTGACTAGCTATGTCATGGCAGTCTCGCTGCTTCTTGTTGGAAGGGCATCAGCCTTACCACCCTTATGACTTTATTTAACTTAATCACCTGCTCACACGCTATCTCCACATTGTCACCCTGAGGGGGTTGGGCTTCAGCATATGAATTTATGGGGGAGCACAATTCTGTTCACAGCAGATGGTCATTCTCTAAGTGGGGGATTCTTGGGGTGAGGCATGGGGTTCTTGGGGAGCCCTGGGGAAAGCGGCAGCCTAGGCTGGAGTTCAGGCTCTAAGTACAAGGACCTCAGTGCCCTATGCACTCTTGGGTATGAGTGACTATGCACTGATGTGGTGTCTGGGCAAGTGTGAAGGGCACTCACTGTCTCCTGCCAGGAGCTCCTTGGACAAGGCTGCGTGTTCCAGGAGCGACAGGGCTGGGAGCGACCAGGATGGTTCAGTCCCCGAGGGACAGCTCCGGTGAGTGATGGTGCCAGCAGCTACTGCTGTGCACCTGAAAGGCCCTGCCCTGCCCCCTATGCATCCTACCCTCAGCTGGAGTCAGGGCTGGTTCAGCCCAAAGCAGGCTGTGGGGATGGGTCAGCCATTCTGCACACAGGGAGTCCATCACCAGCCTGTGGAGAGCAGTCAGCATCTCTGTGGGGCACTTCACAGGCCTTGCTTCCTGCCAGCCGCCAGGGGCCAGGCTTTCCAGGGGCCCATGTGTGTGAGCACAGTGGGCAGAGAGGTGGACAGTATAGTGGGGACAGTGTGAAAAATTTCCCAAGCTGCAGGAGGGATCCAAAGTCTTCGTGCAGTTTTCTGCATATATTTTTGGCAACTCCAACTGTTAGTTTATGTCAGTAGGAGGTTAGTTAGTGGGAGGGTTTAATGCCTCAATGTGTTCAGTTTATCCACCAAGATTTCCCACGTCCTGGCCTCTGGGGTTCCTCTAGGCCTCCCCAGCTCTTCCTAGGGATGGGCACTCAGGAGCAGGCCACAGAGGTATTGAGGCCAATCCAGAGGGTGGTTTGCAACCCAGATCTTTCCCTTTGTCATGTGGCACCATCCTCACCTGGTGAGACTCTCTTCCATCTCCATAATAACCCAGGTTCATGACCGGTTCCCAGGCATCCTTAGGGGAAACAGAGCCAGAGGCAAACCAGGCCTGGGTCCCAGGGTCAGGGTTTTAAGAGCCTCCCTGATCACTGTCTCTTCTCTCATTGGCCCCTAGGGACCCATGTTCAGTGCAGAGAGATGTAGGGAAGATGGGCCTGGGCAGGCCTAGCTTTGAACTGTGGAAGCTCTGTGCCCTGGAGTCCCTGAGCAAGGCAAGGCAATGGGAGAGGGAATCAGAAGACCCTTGATCCCTAGATGAGCAGACTTTGCACCCCACCTGGGAGCCATCCTGGGACAGCTCAGTAGGCCTGTAGTGGGTGGGATGTCCTGCTGGGGCCTTACAGGCCAGGGGAAGCCAGCCTGGCTGGGAAGGATGCCAGGACTTGAGCTAGGGCTGGGAGCAGGAGAATGAATGACTGGTTATATCCTTGCACTCACTCTACCTGCGAAAAGCAAGTGAGGCCAGGTGTGGGGGGCGGTGGTGGGCGGGGTGGCGGCTCTGGGAAGTGAGAACTTCCCCTCACTCACACCTGCCAGTCGGCAGATAGGAAGAGAGGCATTGCAGGAGCAGAGGCTGGGAGGGGCCTGGGGCTTGGGGATGAGCATCTGAGAGAGGAGGGCAAACCACAGGAGATGCCATGATGAGAACTGAGGAACCAGACCCTGGATCCTGTGTTCACAGCTGCCTGGCTTCATGCCACAGCGCTGGACTCTGTGCAGACTTGTCTATGACTTTGGGCAGTGTTTAATCTCGCTGTGCCTCAGTTTCCTCATCTGCAGAAAGAGTTTCCCTCATTAGAGGTGTGGGCCTTTCCAGAGGACTTGTCCCAGAGTTAGGCCTGAGTCCGGAATCGCCATGGCAACCGCATCTGGAGCCATCACTGAAGCTGGCCCCACCCATACTTTTCACCCTCTGCTTTCCCAGTTGCCTTCCACTCACACCAAGTGGAAACTCTGGCAGTGGCCTGAGGTCTTCTGCAGCCCCCCACCCTATCACCTCCCACCTTGGAATCTGGCTGCTTCCCCTCCTCTCAGGCCCAGCACCAAGGGGATTAAGGGCTTCATTTGTGCAACTGTGTATTGTGAACCACACTTTCTCCCTCCCCATGTCTATGACCCACTCACCCTCTGGAGGGGGAGCCTGCTGAGGGTGCACCCTGCCTGTCTTGTTTGTGCCTTGTGCAGGGGACCCAACCTGTTTGTGGAAGGATGGAAAGCATGAAGGAGGGAGGGAGGAAGGAGGAAAGGAGGGAAGGGAAGAAAGGAAGGAGGGAAGGAGGGAGAGAGGGAGGAAAGAGGGAGGGAGAGAGAGAAGGAGGGAAGGAAGGAAGGAAGGGGGAGGGAAGGAGGGAGGGAGGGAGAGAGAGAGAAGGAGGGAAGGAAGGAAGGAAGGGGGGAGGGAAGAAGGAGGGAGGAAGGAAAGAGGGAGGGAGGGAGAGAGAGAAGGAGGGAAGGAAGGAAGGAAGGGGGAGGGAAGGAGGGAGGGAGGGAGAGAAGGAGGGAAGGAAGGAAGGAAGGGGGAGGGAAGAAGGGAGGGAGGAAGGAAAGAGGGAGGGAGGGAGAGAGAAGGAGGGAAGGAAGGGGGAGGGAAGAGGGAGGGAGGGAGAGAGAAGGAGGGAAGGAAGGAAGGAAGGGGAGGAAGGAGGGAGGGAGGGAGGGAGAAGGAGGGAAGGAAGGGGGAGGGAAGGAGGGAGGGAGGGAGAGAGAAGGAGGGAAGGAAGGAAGGAAGGGGGAGGGAGGGAGGGAGGGAGAGAGAAGGAGGGAAGGAAGGAAGGAAAGGGGGAGGAGGGAGGGAGAGAGAAGAGGGAAGGAGGGAAGGAAGGGGGAGGGAAGGAGGGAGGGAGGGAGAGAGAAGGAGGAAGGAAGGAAGGAAGGGGGAGGGAAGGAGGGAGGGAGAGAGAGAGAAGGAGAAAAGGAGGAAGGAAGGGGAGGAAGGAGGGAGGGAGGAGAGAGAAGGAGGGAAGGAAGGAAGGAAAGGGGGAGGGAGGAGGGAGAGAGAAGGAGGGAAGTAGGGAAGGAAGGAAGGAAGGGGGGAGGGAAGAAGGGAGGGAGGAAGGAAAGAGGGAGGGAGGGAGAGAGAGAAGGAGGGAAGGAAGGGGGAGGAAGGAGGGAGGGAGGAGAGAGAAGGAGGAAGGAAGGAAGGAAGGGGGAGGAAGGAGGAGGGAGGGAGAGAGAAGGAGGAAGGAAGGGGAGGGAAGGAGGAGGGAGGGAGAGAGAAGGAGGGAAGGAAGGAAGGAAGGAAGGGGGAGGAGGGAGGGAGGGAGGGAGGGAGAGAGAAGGAGGGAAGGAAGGAAGGAAAGGGGGAGGGAGGGAGGGAGAGAGAAGGAGGGAAGGAGGGAAGGAAGGGGGGAGGGAAGGAGGGAGGGAGGGAGAGAGAAGGAGGGAAGGAAGGAAGGAAGGGGGGAGGGAAGGAGGGAGAGAGAAGGAGGGAAGGAGGGAAGGAAGGGGGGAGGGAAGGAGGGAGGGAGGGAGAGAGAAGGAGGGAAGGAAGGAAGGAAGGGGAGGGAAGGAGGGAGGGAGGGAGAGAGAAGGAGGGAAGGAAGGATGGACGGACACGCTTTCCGTCCTAGGTCCTTGATTATGACTACTACGGGGCCTATGGAAACCCTGCACACAAAGACTACACCTACAACCAGCTGCTGAAGGATGAATATACCTTTGACTTCCCACCCCACCATGCTGTGGTGAGTGCCTGAGCCTGCTGGAAGCCAGAGACCCCAGACCCTCCCCGACCCTCACACAGGAGAAGCCCAGGTGGGCTGCCGAAGGGGACCTTCGGTCGGCCTTGCTGAGCTCCAGATGCCCCCTCTCCTGCTGACTCAGTTGCAAGGGATTGAGTGATGTTCTCTTGCCCTCTCCTCTCCCTCCTCTGTACCACCATTCGGCCAGCTGTTGGGCCTGAAGGTCACTATTATTGCTGGAGGCAACGGGGGCCAGGGTGAGAAAGACTGGCCTGAGTGTGCTGTGTGGCCTCTGAGCCCCTCTGGTTTAAGGCTGTGTGAGGCTCTGTGACCAATGGGACTCCTCTTTGCTGGTGCCTGAAGAGGGCTCTGCCTCCTCTGGTAGCCGAGCAGGTCCACAACAAGGTGGGGTTGCTGACAAAGGTCAGGCCCCTGGATGTGCCCTTCTAGAAGACCAAGCAGAGGGAACCAGGGCTGGGGCTCCTTGGTTGGAGTCTTTTTGCCGACCCCTAGGCTGGCCAGATTGGCACTGGGCAGCTCATGGCTCCTCACTGTAGGGCCTGGCTCCCCACCTCACTGGGGTCAAGGTGACGAGTCTTAGGGCTGGATCTCCCTCCTTCCCTCCAGCAGTCTGCACCCCACAGGTAGTTTTGCAGGAGGAGCAGTGCTGGCTCCACCCTGAGCCCGCCCAGCCCATGTGTTGTCCCTGTGTGTCACCACACTTAAGACAACGTCTCACCACACATCTAAAGTGGGAGCAGAGCCAAGCCCTTTGTTCAACCCTGGAGCCCAGGACAGCCTGCAAAACATGGCAAGGGGCCCTCGTGCCGGAGGAGGACTTCATAGGTGGTCACTGCAATCACTGTGGGCCCCTCACAGACAAGTACCAGCTTCTGGATCCCAGGAGCTCTCCCTGCTTCTTCAAGAAAGGCCTGCACTTTCATTTTGTGCTGGCCTGTACACGATGACCTGTCCTGAAGGGAAGAGACCATCTCTTCGCTCCACCACCCCCAAAGCTCATGCTAATTGTAGACACCTATTGAGAAAGGGGCTCCCAGACAGAGCCAGGAGGCCCGTGTACCATAAAATGCAGCAGCTGCAGGGCCAGCTCAGTGCCTGGTCCCCAGCAGCCGCCTTGAGGAAGTGCACGGGCTGCGTCTGGCACCTCCACCCTGCAGTTTCTAAAGCCCTTGAGACTCTGGCCCTTGAGGATGTGGAAGCTGGGGGAAGTGCCAACTTAGCTGTGTGGTTCCACCCAGCCTCCGCAAACGCGCCTGAGACACGAAACACGCACGTGTCTTCCATATTGGCAGCTTCCCCAGATCGGGCAGACAGCGTGCGACAGCCTAGGAAGCTGTTTGGGTTTTTCTAAAGCCCCAGTCGCATCAGCAAAGTACTGTAGTGCCCAGCTAGTGGTGGGCGCCCCATGGAGGCTAGTGATGCCTGAAGGGAGGAAGAGGAGTGACTGAGGGATTAGGAGGCAGCAGACCCTCATGGCACATGTGTAACAACCTGCTGGGGGCGATGGCTGGATCCATGGCCTGGCGTCTGCGCATTTCCCTGCTGCAAATACTCACCAGGGCTGATATCCGGCCCATCCCCCAGTGGGACCTCGCTCAGCATTGGGCTTGGCACTGGGAGGCCTGCACTATTGGCTCTTGAGATTGGGGCTCTGTGTGACCCTGCTGGCAGCAGCTCTGTGGCCTTCCAGTTGTGCTGCGCCAGCCTCCAGAGCACCGGGGTACCGAGGGCTGGTGGCAGCCACCGTGCCGGGTGGTAGTGAGTTAGGAAGGACATACTGCAGCTTCTGGACACTCAGTGACTGCCCAGCCCGAGGCAGCTGCTGCAGAGTAATTTTATGTTCAGCGATAGCGTTGTTGAGATATAATCCGTATGTCATATAGTTCGTAAGTTTAAAGGGTCCAATTCAATGTTTTCCAGTAAATTCACAGAGCTGTTCAGTCATCAGCACCATCAAGATTCAGAACAGTTTCAGGGCCCACGTAAGGATCACCCCCTGCCCCCACTCCAGCCCACCCCAGCCTATTCTGCTTCCGGTCTCTGATACCTAACTTGGGCAGTTCATAGAAGTGGGCTTATAAGATCCATGGCCCTTTGGGACCAGCCTCTCTCACCAGAGTCTGTCCACATCAGTACTTCATTCCTTTCATCACAAATCAGAGTGCATGGGCGGGGCATATTGCGTTTTATTTGCCACTCATCAGCTGATGGACACGGAAGTCATTTCCACTCTTTGGCTGTTAGGAATGGCACTGCCGTGAACACCTGTGTGCACACGGTTGCTCGGGGGTGCGTTTGCAGCTGGGGTACACAGCGGGGCTGGGATGGTTGAGTCACATGGTCACTCTGTGTCCAGCATTTGCTTCCCACAGTACTGAGCCACACCTCTTTGCACTCTTTGGTGTGCATCGTCCAGTTTCTCCACATTGTCACCAACACGTGTTTTTCTCTGACTAATTCTAGCCACTCAGGTAGGGGCAGAGTGGTATCTCATTGTGGTTTTGATTTGCCTTTCTGTAACTAATGGGATGGAGTACTTTTTCAAGTGTCTGCTAACCACTTGAATATCTTCTTTGGGGAAATATCTATTTAGATCCTTTGCTCAGTTTTAATTGGGTTGCCTTTTTATTATTGAAGTTAAGTGTTTTTCTTTTTTTGAGGCAGGGTTTTACTATGTAGCCCAGGCTGGCCATGAACTCACCATCCTTCTGCCTTCACCTCGTGAGTGATGGGATTACAGGTGTGTCCCACCATGCTGGGCTGAAGTTTAGGTTTAAAAATGTATATTGTGGATATAAGTCCTTTATCAGATTATAATATGCAATATTCCCTCCCATCCTGTGCTTTCTTTTCACTGTCTTGTTGGTATTGTTTGCAGCACAAACTCTGAAATGTTTTTACAAATTTTTTTTAGAAATGTTGGTGCTGTGTCCAGTTCACCTCTTGTCCCCCTTTTGTTGCTTGTGTTTTCTGTGCATTGTGTAAGGAACTAACCCAAGGCCACAAACATTGACTCGATCATTTTCTTCTAAGGGTTTTATAATTTTAGCTTTTATGTCTACCGTTCATTTTTAGTCAAATTTTGTGCATGGTGGAGGAAGGGGTCCAACTTTTTTTTTTTTTTTTGTGGTGCTGGGGTTTGAACTCAGGGCCTTGCACTTGCTAGGCAGGTGCTCTGCCCCTTGAGCCACGCCCCCAGCCCTTTTTGCTTCAGTTATTTGCCCAGGGTCTCAAGTTTGTGCCCAGGCCAGCTTGGACCGTGATCTTCCTACCGGATCATGGTGTGATAGGCATGTGATCCAGTCAGCTTTTCTAATTGCTTGAGATGGGGTCTTGATAACTATCCCTCCACCCCCCACTGGCCTCAGACTACATCCTCCCAAGAATCCAGGATTGCAGGCATGAGCTCCCTTGCTGGACAACTTCATTCTTTTGCATGTGGCTGTCTTGTTTTTCCAGCATCATTTATTGAAGATTCCACCTCAGAGAATTGTCTTGGCACCCTTGTTAAAAACCAATTCACCATAAGCCTGGGGGTTTACTTCCAGACTCTCAGTTCTAATCCACTGACCCTAGGTCTGTCCAACACTGGTCTGTCTACTGTGGCTTTGCACTAGGTTTTGAAATCAAGAAATCCAAGGCCTCCAGCTTTGTTCTTCTTCAAGACTGTTTTGCACATTCCTGTCTCTTGCAATTCCGTGTAACTTTTTGGATCCACTTGTCAATTTCTGCAAAGAAGGCAGCAAAGACTTTAATGGGAATTGTGTTGAATCTGTGATCATTTTGGGGTGTGTTGTCATCTTAATAACAGCAAATTTTCCATTTCAGGAGCATGGGGTGTCTTTCCATTTATTTAGATCTTTCCTTTCTCTCAAAAACATTTTCTAGTTTTTCTAATACAAATTTGTCATTTTTTTTGTTAAGTTTATTCCTCAGCAGGTTTATCATTTTTATGTCACTATAAATGGAGTTCTTTTCCTTTTCAAGTTGCTCAGTGCTGGCTTTGTGGTCTGTCTTTTGTGTGCTGACCTTGGATCCTGCAACCTTGTTGAGTGGTTACTTCTAATAGCTTTTAGTGGGTTCTTAGCATTTTCTATATACAAGATCACTGTATCTGCAAATTTGGGTATTTTTAGCTCTTCTTCCCAGTCTGAATGCTTTTAAAATCTTTTCCTCTTGCTTAACTGCTGTAGTTGGGTATCCGTAACAATGCCGAATAGAAGTGTTGAGGGCAAGACTGGAGGCCTGGCAAGCTCAAAGCCCTGGGTTCAAACCCCAGTAATGCCAAAAATATATATTAAAAAGTGGTGAGTGTGGACACCTGACCTTAGGGGAACCTTCCGTGTTTCTTTGTGAAGTATGATGTCGACCATGTGACTTTTGCAGATGCTTTTTGCCAGGTTGATGAAGTGACCTTCTGTTCTTAGGTTGTGATGATGAACAGGTAGATTGTGTCAAGTACTTTTTCTGCATCTGTTGGATGGTTTCTGTCCTTTATTTTCTGAAAATAATCAATTTGGGGATGTTAAACCAACTGCACATTTCTGGGGTAGTCCAGCTGATCCTGGTGGAGAGCCCACTCTTCATGGGGGGTTTGGTTGACCCATATTCACATCGGTCTCTAGTTTTCTTACGGCTTTAGTTTCAACATCAACATCAGAATGAAATTTCTTACTGTGATATTTTTTGGAGTTTGTGACTTGGTGTCACTTCTCTGAACATTTGGTAAAATTCACCAGTGGAGGTCTCTGGGCCTGGCCATTCCCTCTTGGGGAAGTTTTTAAAGGACTAGTTCACTGTCTTTTTGTTGTAGCTCCATTACTATTTCCCATTCTTCACAGTTGCAGAAAGCTGTGTCTTTCTGGGAATTTGTCCATTACACATCTCATTTGTGGGTGTGCAGCTGCTCACAGTCTTTCCTTACAATCTCTCTGGCTTCTCTGGAAAGCGGGCAGTGGAACCCTCTCTTTCACTCATGACTGTAGAACTTCAAGTCCTCTCTTTGTCCATCTAGCTAAAGGTTTGTCGGTCTTGTGAATCTTTTCAAGGATCAACTTTTGGTTCTGCTGACCTGCCTGTTTTTATTTCATTTAGCTTTACACAAATCTGTCCTTGTCTGCTTTAGGTTTAGTTTGCTCCTTTTCTGGTTTCTCCCAGTGGGAGGAGGTCGGGCTGTTGGTTGAGTGATTTTCTTTTACAACACAGGTGCATATGGCTGTAAGCCTCCAGTCAGCACTGATTTAACTTTGCTGTGGTCAAAGAACCTCCCTGATGTGATTTCAGCATTTTTGAATTTTCTGGGCACATGCTGAACTGGAGAAGAATGTGTTTCTGAGCTGGAGGGGGCTCCAAGCATGTGTATTGGAAAGAGCCCAGCCCCCATGTTCTGGGGGCAGCACACCTCAAGGTCCCCCCTCACTCAACCCTCCCCCGGACTTTCTAGATCCAGAAGGAGTGTCTGACCTGCAGAGGAGCTGCCGCGGTGTTCAACATGTCCTACTTCGGGAAGTTCTACCTGCTGGGGTTGGACGCTAGGAAGGCTGCTGACTGGCTTTTCTCCGCCAATGTTAGCCGACCCCCAGGTATGGGGCTGGGCTGGATGGACCATATTCCTCTCATGCTTCATGCTGGAGTTTTTTGTTTTGGGCTTTTTGGTTTTTTTTGGTGGGACTGGGGCTTGAACTTTGGGCTTCATGCTAGTAAAGCAGATGCTCTACCACTGAGCCACACCTCCAGCCTCTCTCACACTTCAGATAGGTCCCTATGGACACAGCCCTGAGCATGGAGATGGGGTGGCAGACAATGGAAGCCCATTGCCTTCCCCTGGGCCTGGGGAGTAGTAGCCTGGGGGTACTGTCAACCCTCCCCACATTGCCAGTCTGGCCCTAGGAGCTTCCTCCTCCTCCTCTCCTCCCTCCACCTGCCTTTCACCTTTCTGGCTTCTTTCCTTCTTTGTCCTGGGAGGGAGGCATGGCATTGGGCCCTCAGTAGTATCTCTGGGGTGCTCAGGGCCTCCTGGGGTGCTTTCATCACGTGGGGTTGCCAGAATAAAACAATCTAGGATACTCAGTTGAGTCTGAATTTTGGATAACTAAGAGTAACTTTTAGTAGTCTATCCATGCAATAGATAGGATATTCATCACTTTTCTTATCACCCTCCCACCCATTGCCTTACTCACCCATCCACCTACCCCAAACCCACCTGTCCTCATCTTCATTCCTTTCCTGTAGCTGCCATAACATTGCTGCACAAACTGGGTGGCTTAAAACAGCAGAGATGTTTTGTCTCATGGAGGCCAGAGGTGGAAATGAGGGTGCTGGCCACAGTGTGCTGCACCAGGCCAGACGGAATCCATTCTGGCCTCTCCCGGCTCAGGGTGGCTGGGAACCGTGGCCTTGCTTGGCTTGCAGCTTCTTGCCTCCGTCTCTGCCTCTGATGCCACACAGCCTGTTCTCCCTGTTCTCCTCTTCTTATAAGGATGGCAGTCATAATGGACACACCCTAATGACCTCACCTTACATCGGTTAATATTTCCAAATAAGGCCACATCCATAGATTCTGGGGCTTAGGACTTCAATATGTCTATTTGAAGAACAAAATTCAACCCATAACACCATCTAGCCAGACAACCAACCAGTGTCCCACTTACCCACTCCCACATGCATCTCCTCTTCACCCCCGTGATCCTCCATTAACCCACCCTCCCACTCACCCTCCTCTCACCATCTGCTTTTCCATGTATCTCCTTCCATCTGTCTGCTGCCTCTCACCTCTTCCCTTTCCACTCACCCACTCCCCCATCCATCTGTCTACCACCCAGACATTTGTCTGTCCATCCACATCCCTCATCACCCAACCATTCATTCATCCATTCATTGTCCACCCACCTCCCTCCTGATCCATCCATTCATCCATCCATCACCCACCTACCTCCCTCCTCATCCATCCATTCACCCATCCATCACCTACCCACTTCCCTCCTCACCCATCCATTCATTCATCCATCCATCACACACACACCTCCCTCCTTACCATCCATTCATTCATCCATCCATCACACACACACCTCCCTCTTCATGCATACATTCATTCATCCATCCATCACACACACCTACCTCCCTCCTCATCCATCCATTCACCTATCCATCGCCTACCCACTTCCCTCCTCACCCATCCATTCATTCATCCATCCATCACACACACACCTCCGTCCTCACTCACCCATACATTCATCCATCCATTCTCTATCCTTCATCCACCTACCTCCTAACCCTAGCCCTAACCCTAACCTCATCCATCTGTTCATCCATCCATTGTCCATCCACCTCCCTGCTCATCCATCCATTTGTTCATGGCTACTTACTCCACCGACACTGATGGGACTTCTGCTGTACCATACACAGTGCCAAGATCAGAATCCCATGGCCAGAAACTTGTCAGCAGGTGAGAATGGGAGGAGCCAGGTCAAGGCATTTCAGGAAGAAAGAAGACTCTGTACCCCAGGATGGCACCAATGGATGATGACCTGACCATTGAGGGTTCTCTCCGGGTCACTCAGTTGAAATGGAATTGCTGAACTGGACGGGTCACCCATGGGTGACCTGCCAAGGGGTTGTCCACATTCTGAATAGTAACCTGCTTCAAGGCTGGCAGGCTCTGAGGCCAGAACACATCTGGTTTCTCTCCCATCGCAGGCTCAACGGTATACACCTGCATGCTGAACCATCGGGGGGGCACCGAGAGTGACCTGACTGTCAGCCGCCTGGCCCTTGGATCCCAGTCCTGCCCCCTGGCCCCCGCCTTTGAAGGTAAGAGATGCTGTGGGAGCAGCGTTGCCACAGCTGAAGCCTGCTCTGGGGACCTGTGGTCATTGGTTACAGAATGGACAGGGCTGGGCTGCCGAGGGTAGCTCTGTAATTACCCGTCATGCCTGCTGTGGTCAGGGCCTGGAGATTAGAGGTTTCTGATGAGGCTAAGTGCAGGCTTTGTTCAGGCAGTGATGCCGGCCCTCTGAGCACTCCGTGATTATGTCTTTGAACCTGTCCACACTGGCACTTCAGAGCTGCCTCAGCATGGGTTCACTTAGCTCAGTTGCCTAGGACAGTGCAAGCCCAGGAGGTCAGCCCTTTCCTGACCCTGACATCTGTGCTGGGCCTGTTTTCTTGACTTCTGTGCAACTTCCAGTCTCGGGACTGGACAGGTCCATGGATGCCCAGCTTGGTGCCCAGGCTAATACCTGAATGGTCTCTGCATGCCCCACTTCTGCTTGTATGCCCCATTCCCTCCCCAATGATGCTCAGTATTTTAGTTCAGTTTGCACAGCCCTGGCTGTTACAATGAGCTACGACTACTTCTGTCACCTCCACCCCCAATCCTATCCCTCAGTTCTCACAGGAACTCCATGGCCTGTGGCACATATCCACCAGAAGAAGAGAGGGAGCAGAGTGGGCATGTCCTTTCTCTCAGAAGGGCATTGACAACTCTGGGAGGCTGGTCTTCATGAAGAGAGGCATAAACTGTGCTGATCTCTGGGTTACCATCCAAGACAGTAGTGGTCAGCCAGAAGCTCTGGGCCTGTCAGGAAAGCTGGCCACCTCCTGACTTTTTCCCATTCTGCTGGTCCTCAGAGGGGCTCAACTAGGGCTTCCTGGGGCTGAACCCTGGCCTGGGCACCCGGGAAGGGAGGAACTCTGTAATAAATCAGCTTCTCCATGCATGCGTTCAGCCACAGTTCTTATGAACCAGAGAAGGCTCAGGCCTGTGTAGTTTATATTTGGGGTGGAAGGAAAGAGAATTGAAAAAAAAATATGTGGAATGTACAAGATGTTAGATGCATTAAAAAGAAAAGCAAAAGCGGGTGGAGGGGGACAGTAGGGACTGCGCTGGGGGACAAAGTGGCCCCACCAGTTCATTCTTTCCTGCAGTGATAGTTTGCAGAGCTAGGGCAGCAGGGAAGGAGTAGATGAAGGGGTCTGGGGCCTCAGGACCCACCCTGAACCATGTGGACAGACAGGTACAGGAAGAGAAAGAGGGGTGCATGAAGAAAGAGCTAGGGGCTGGGATAAAGAAAGGTGCTATGGGAGGCCAGGGGAAATGGCCAGTCTGGGGAGGAAGGCTTCCTGGAGGAGGCAATATCTGGCCTGAACTTTGAAGGATGAGTGGGAGCTATCAGCTAGAAGGGCGTGGAGGTGAGAATCAGTGCTCAGAAGGTGGTAGGGACAGGCAGTGAGCAGAGGGTGGCAGGGACAGGCAAAGAGGTGTTTGCAGAACTGGAGGAGCTGTGGCCTTCAGCCCAGACTCAGAGAGCCAGTCTAGCTGGGGGACAGACAGAGGGACCCAAATGAGGGTGCAGGTCCCTGAAATCCTGACCCAGGCTCTGCCAATGCCTGACTCTGGGCATTGCCTCTGTGAGCCTCAGCCTTCCCTACCTGAGAATGGGGGTGAGAGGATTGACCTCCCTGAGCTGCCACAGGGAATAGGGTGAGAGCAGGGAGGAGCAACCTCCTTAAGCCTCATCTGGGGAATGAGACTTGCTACCTCCCTAAACTGAGCTTCTCCCCATCCTTGTGGGTGCGCAGTGAGGAGCCTTCCAAATAATTCTGAAGGATTCCTGAGGCTGAGGGCTTGGGGAGGGCTGAGCTGCACCTGGTGGGTGTGATGGGAATAGCACAAGTCCTGTCCCCCAGGGCTGTGGATCCTGGGGACACTCTGAACAGAGGAACACTGGCTCATGGACTTTTTTCATTTTCATTCCTTGATGAATATGCATGACATTAAGTATGCATATATTTAATGCGTTCGTTAATTATACACGTGACCTTGGAGCCCCAGCAAGTCAAGAGAATGTGGTGATTTACATGTGATCAAGGTTGTGTACCAAGCAGTTGTCAATCTTAGGAGTAATTTTAAGTGATCTTTATTCATTTTTTTCAAATATTACAAAAGGCGTACTTGCTCATAGGAAACACGCTGACAATACTGAGAAGTGCAAAATCAGATGCACAGCCCACAGCTCTCACCCCACGCCTGGTGACAATGGAGACAAGCTCCGGGAGGGAGGCTCTGCCCCAACTGCTCTCTGCCCTGTCTGCCTTGCAGCAGGACCAGGTCTGCACTGACCACTAGCCTCAGGCCCCTGCACTTTGTTTTCAGAGCAGCTGATCCAGGATGACTGCCCAAGGGAGACAGGTCCATGCTGTTGTCTCTCTGGACACCAGGCAGCCTCGGGAGCTCTCCATGTCCTCCTGGAAGAGGCTTTGGGCTGGCCCCAGACTGGTGGGGCTGCCCAGGAGCCAGGGCCTGCAGATCACAGTGTGCACCTGCATGCACGTGGGTGGGGTGTGGGCAAAGCTGTCCACCTGGCCTGGGGTTAAGGACACTCCTCAGAGTTCCAGGGTCCTCCAGTAACTCTAGCCTAGGGATCAGGAGCAGGCAGGATGTGGGGAGCAGAGAAGGATGCATTACATAGTGTGACAAGGTCGGGAATGTCCCAAGGCTGTTGAGAGGAGGGCGAGGAGGATGTTGAGGTCCATGACCTCACATACTCTTTCTGCTCCTTGCACAGTGAGGCTGATCCTCGAGTGGGGGAAGGAGCAGGGCACCCCCAGCTTGAAGCTTGCAGGCAGGATAACTGGGTTGCCCCCAGCCCCAGAACCTCCATCAGAGCCCAGACAGGAGTAAGGTCCCAGTCTCTGCTTCCATCTGCTCCTCCCTTGCCACGAGGGAAAGCTGGCTGCCTGTGTTTTAGCTCTGGCAGATGGCCGCCCCCCAGGCTCACGGTGGTATAGGGTAGGGCCAGGCCCTGAGGGTGCTGGACAGGATTCTCCCACCTCTCTGGGTTGGACCTCATCCTGCTAGCTGCCTGCGAGCTCCAACCTGGGTTGGGCTGGGCTGGGCTGGACTGGGCCTACTTTGGTGCCAGGGTCCCCGCCTTCTTCCTTCTAGAGTAAGGGGCACCTAGGACCGAGAGGTGAAGTTTGTGCAGGCCAGGATCCCAGGAAGGGAGAAGGGGTGGAGTGCAGACATCACCACTCCCATCTCTTAACCCCTCCGAGAGCTGACTCCCAGAGCCCGCCATGGTTCTCACCTCCTCCCCAAGCCCTGCGAGGGGTGTACAGTTGGAGAGACTGGGGCACAGAGGCTCAGACACTTGCCCAGGCCCCACCCTGCTCTGTGGAAATCAGTGAGGAGGAGGAGCTAGGCAGGATGGAGGATGTGATGGAAGGCTCCTATCCACACCTCCCCATACCTTGCATTTGGGGGGTGATTCAGACACAACTTGGCTGTCCTAGGTCACAGTGTCCTTGCCTATGATAATTCTGTCAATCCCAAATCACAGATGGGACGGTGTGTGCTCAGAGCCCCAGGGCAGCAGCTTCTCAGGATGGGCTGCTCTCCTGGTCTCTGGGTGGCAGTGTGGCTCAGTGGATGCCCCATGGCCATGAAGACAGAGCCAGAATTCTGCCCGTTACCACTCTGAACCTCAGTCTTTTCTAAAACCTGTGCGGGCGAGGTGAGAAGTTAGCATCTGGGGTGGAGTCAGAGGTTGTTGCCTGTGAAGCCTCAAGCCTGGAACCCGGGCCCAGCAAACCCCAGGATGTGGAAGCAAGGGGTGAAACTGGAGCCAGTGAGGACCTCGAGGCTCAGAGACAGAAAGAGCTGTGCCCAGGGCCACCCAGCACTGGCACCTGCAGTGGGACAGAATCTCCCCCACCTAATGGCACTGAGGTCCTAACCCTTTCTGGGTCATGTGCCTCAGAGAAGTAGACACATGCCTTAGGTACTGTCCTTGGGGATACGCAGCTCCATTGAAGGAACCAAGTTGCATCCTTCTAGACAAGAACTGGGTCCCCTGCCATTCATTCTCAAAGAAAGGACATTGTTTTCCCACTTGGGAGGCCCCACATGTCCCCTGTCCCCTAGGTTCTGTTCTAAGTCTGGGTGCTCCTTTTCTAGGGGATGGCTACTACCTGGCCGTGGGCGGGGCTGTGGCCCAGCACAACTGGTCCCACATCACCACAGTGCTACAGGACCAGAAATTCCGGTGTCAGCTCGTGGACAGCTCTGAGGAGCTGGGCATGATCAGCATCCAGGGCCCAGCCAGGTGAGAGAACAGAGGGATGCAAGCCCCTAGGCATACCTGGATGTACATGGGCACACCTGAACACACAGGCACACCTGGACACACCTAAGCTCCCGGCCCTTCAACTGGGCCAATGGAGACAACCACTTACTGGTCCAGAAAGGGCCATCCTGAAGAGTAAGCCACTCTGATAAACCCAGAGATCCATGTGGGATAAACAGTCTTCAAAGTACCTGACTCAGGTAAGCCTGCGACAGAGGAGCAGCGTGATGTTGACAGGGATTCAGCACCTTTGTGTGATGCTCCTTGAGGGTCTCCGGATCACTGG